GGGGGGACTAACCGTGCGTTTTATTTTTTGTATTGGCAGCCAAAAGAAAAGAAAACGCAGATAACTATTTCTCTTTATAACCAATACGACAGTTTCAGCTGAGAAAAACACAGCACAGACATACATCCTTTTGCAAGCACCAACATAATTCCATCTCTTACCTTTCACAATAAATTCACAGCGGTCACAATTACAGCGAAGATATCAACGAAAAGTACACGTGAGAATGCTATCCACAAACACCAACGAACTTAATCTGCCGGACTCGGAATGAGCGAAGAAAGAAGTCAAAAATATTCGAACCACAGGGCACTCGGCGGAGAAGACCGACGGTGCGCGTCCAGTTGGTCTCGGAGGAAGAAGCACGTTCGCTCTCTCTCGCTCTCTCGCTCGCTCGCTCAGCCCGTTAGCCTAGCGCGCGACCAAGATCGCAAAGCGAGCGTGAACTCCGAGGGCTGTAGATCTGACACCAAAATTCTTCCCGCCTCACCCACCAGTACCACTACCAACGGAGGATTGACAAGTGATAGCAGCTGCTGCTACTGCTGTCAAGGTGGTGTTTGGCTACCTGCTGAAAGAATCCACACTTTGTGCTGTGGGTGGTTAATAGGTGGAAGGTGTTCAGGTGTGGCTTGAATTACTTACTGTCGAACCTACACTTAGCTAACTTACAGCCACCACTTGTATTTAACAAGACAACTACCTAGCTGTACAAATGGCCTCTTCCCATTCGACCCCCCCCCCTTCCTTGTCTTTAAAAAAATAATGACACTGTGTGGGACGCTCTCCTGCCTATGACGACCACTTTTCTCCTCGACAACAGATGTCCGTCTAAGACAGTTTCGACTGTACTTCTTTCTAGAAGTAAGACAGGGTGTCACATCATGTCACCTGTGAACAACGGCGTGTAGCTTAACCGCTACACTACAGAAGTCGGGAAATCGTGTGTCGTTGAGGAGAAGTTATCCACGACTAACAATGATAACGGCCTCATTCATTAGGATTATGCTCATAAATAATGTGATTGTCTTGGACAGGTGGCCGTTAAAGCAGGTTTGACTGTATACAAACCATTTTCAACGCCTCCATCCATCGCATTATGCTTTAAACATTCGACAGAACTCATAAGGTATACAAATAGACATACATAATAAGACACAGCGTGAGTTCGGATTGTATCAAGCTGGACTGATGTACAGATATCCTTGGTCAGAATCCCAGACAGGATGCGGTAATATTTCATTTGGGTGGTTTGCATTTGGGGAATTGCTACTGCTCTCTAACACACATTTGGCTTGGTCCTGTCACAGATAAAAGTCACATTCCTGGCTCAACTCCTGTAAAAAAAACAACAAACCAACCAACAACCTTAAAATGTTGATATGGGAGTAATGGTATCCGTTCCTTATCATACCGAGTTCGATATCGTCAAGCCATTGTATACCAGGCACATTTTGTGAGATCTTCCTCCTTCATCGCACTGTGAGTTACAAGATCGCCGTGTGTGTTTATACAAAGTACCAGCGATGATACATTGACTTTTTCCACGATGGCAGAGCACCAGCCACGAGTGACAGGTGTACTGAGTGGGGTAGCAAAGACAGAGTCTTATCATGTGAAACAGAACGAATATTAACCCTACGCATCCGAGAGCAAACCGTAGCATTGTGGGTTTTGTACAGCTCGCCCCTTTATAATGAACACTGCTAGGTTATTTCAGAAATTGGACCTTCGATCGGAGGGTCCGTCTCCTATAGGACTATGCGAAGTGAGTGAAGAGCTCTAAAAACTCTGTAAATAATAGAATGACAGGCACGCTCATTTGGGGATTCAAAACAACGTTATAAGCACAGTCGTTCAGCGTGGTACCAATTGAGCTACCGGAACTCTCGTTAAAAAAATCAAAACCTAGGAGAATTCCGTTGGATTATGTTAGATATATCCTGAAAGCAGAAAGGCCCAGGGCTTGAAGGAATTAAAATCTAGACCAGATTTACCCACCCCAACGCCAATTTGTTTTACGATGAAAGAACCGTTATTTTGAAATGAAAACTCAAATAAGCCTACAAAGGAAGCCAGTTATCGGTGCTAAACTCGGAATTCCAAAACGTCTGGCTTGTTAGTCTGAGTCAAAGAGAAGAACATCGATACACCAGCCGTCATAATTTAGTGCAGAGAGAAAAATAGAACACACTGATAGACGGAAACGCAAAAGTGATAGCCAAAAAATGTTGGAACTACCAGTGGCGTCCTGAAAACAATCAATAATCCAAAGTAAATGTGATGGTTACATACAACTAGTTATTTTCACTCCACGTTTACTTCCAACGTCTTATGCGGGCCAGCACAGAGTAAAGATTTTACAAAGCGGAAACGCATTTCATGGGACAGCATTCGTTTCAAGTCCTGGCAGGGCGCCATTTTCAACAAAGTTCCACGTTCATGGACACCCAAAGAGCAATGAGAAAGAATAATAACAAACAAGCTTGACCTGTAAGATTATAAATCTACTCGGCTGGAAATGTAAATGCCACTTAAGTGAAAAACGGTAGACATTAATACTTTCTGCCGTGTTAGTTACTTTCGTCGAACCATCTACTATACAGGCGCTTTTACAGCCTTTCTGTTTTCTGTTTCTTTTTTCCACGCCTGTGTGTATTCATATAAGAAGAGAGTACGGAAGAATAAATATCTGTGGAGACCCGGAGCGAAAATTGCAATGAATGTCCGGGAGGTAGGTGTATACAGATATAGACTGGAATGCATTTTAATTACACGGCTTGTCTGTTTGCCCGTTTCACTACACCAGCAACACATTCATTTGAGAGTTGATATTATTATGTTTGTGAGACTGGACGGGTGGACGGTTGGCCGGGTGGGTGGTAGTGCTTTCTACTTGAACTGAGACAGAGAGAACCATTGAAAGAACTCACAAGACAAGAGAGGATGGGTGGGTGGGTAGGAGGTTATTTTTAGTGTTGAGACAAGCAAGCCGGAGAAAAAAATTCTTGAATAACGAGGGAAGACCAATCGAAAACGAAAAGCAATAAACATAGGGTTGCGCGCTCATATGACCTTAGCAGTTGCGAGCGCCGTAAAACCTTATACTACTACTACTAAACATAGGGTTTATTGGAATAGCCGACTCTCATGTAATATCTTTATAAAAATGTTGTTTTTATATCAAGAGTGTTTCTTGCTCGCAAGTTCAGTTTCTTCTTTTCATTTATATTGCCTGGGGAGTACCCGAATTGGGAAGTAGGAGCTGGAATGTTGGGTCGACCATTCTCTTTATTTGTAGAGGGAGTTCAGACAGTACTTCGCAGTTGTTGAAGGTTTCAAACAACAGAAAGGTGGGTTCAGGGCAAATCAGGGTCTGACTTTGAGGCACCTGACATCGGAGAAAATTCTCGAACTCTCGGCCGATGTAAAAATATTTAGGGGATGGACTGGGTGATTTGTTCTATC